TCACTTGCTGGACTGACCTCAGGATCTGCCTCATCGCTCTCTCTGAGTCTCCTTGGAAGATGCAGGGGTCTGTTGAAGCATTCTCCATTGAAAAGCGGATGATCTCCTCAGTCACTGTCTTCAAGCTGGCTGTACCCTTTGATGGTACGGGTACCACGTGTATGGCCTTTGTCACTGAGGAAGTCATAACCAGGCAGGTTCCATACTGATCAGCCCTCTCCTTCACTTTGTCCATGGGTGCCTCCTCTGTCCTGGTCTCCTCGCCAGTGTACGTGAAGAAGAAGTCGAGCTGTATCACGTTCTTCCCCAGGTCAGGTTTGGTGTCCTGTCTCTCATGCCTGTCTTCCTTTGCCCTGGTCGCCACACATGCTTGGCACCATGGGGCATATGGGATTTGCGTGACAAAGTGGATCTCTTGCTCCTTCAACGAAGGCAGTCGTGGTTGGCCAATTGTCGTGGGCTTTCTCTCCTGTTCCCTGAACAATTTGTTGGCAATGTTGAGCTTCATCTTATTCTCAATGTTGATGCGGAAGGCCATCAAACGGTCCAGCAGCCTTTTCTTGCTGCCACTGTATGGTAGTCCTCTTTCTTTACACGCTACCTGTAGCTCCTTGACTGGCATCTTGTCCGTGTAGATGACTTCGTCAAGCTCAACTTCATTTGGTCGATCGGCCACCACCATCTTCTCGATATCTCTAGCATCCATCTTCATCTCGAGGTCTTCCTCCTCTTCTCTGTCATCCTCTGACCAATCCAACCGTCCTTGGGGTGCTCTGTTCTTCTCCTCTGGAAATGGGTTTACTGGGACCTCTGAGTCAATCTCCCAGTGATCTTCCAGTGCTGAAGCGGCCAGAAATGTCAGAGTCCTCTGTGGTCCGCTCATCCCAATTCCTCTAAATGCCTTCTCTCCAAGTTCCGTGTAGTCGGCCACATTCTCAAGCTGCGTCCACATGTCGTCCTTGTCCTTGATCAAGGTCATCCTGGCTTTCCATGCATCCTCAATTTGTCCTCGAGGATCCAGCAATCTCGTCGCCACTGGATCACTGTATGCTACCACTCCATTTGGCAGTCGATGCCATCCAGGTTCCATCTCCATCTCCTTCACATATCGACTGAGCGTTCCTCGAGGAGCCATTATCCTCATCTCTTTGTCCTTCTTCGACTCCTCCTCTTCAGCCTCTACCATGGAAATTCTGGCTGTGAACTGTAGTGAATTTCTTTCTTTGTGGATTGGCACAGAAATGTCCCTTCTCTCATGCCTCAAGTCCACATTTCCTGATCCTCCGCAGATGCTCCATCCTTTCTTGAGTAGTTTTCCTGCGCAAAGGATCGGGTGTTGGACATTGCCCAAGACAAAGTCTTCGACCAGCTCAATTTCTTTTCCATTCCTGTCGGTCGTCCTGATCTTTGCTCTGGTCACTCCGTCGTGGGTTCCCTGGGCGTCCACCATCCTCAGACTTTGTGATCCTGGTGACCAAGTTCCAATTCCTCCGTACGATCGAGGAAGCACAGAGATGTCTGCACCACTGTCTAATGTCACCAAGCATCTTGTATCTTGCCCTTGTCCACCAGTGCTCACCATCTGTATTTGCTTCTCCTCCAAGTCATCTTGCAAGTCCATGGCCACAACAGTGATGCCGTGGGGAACTAGCACCACTGGTTCTATGCAGTCCATGAACACCTCGTCCTCCTCGTTGATCTCGTCGTAGATCTCCTCAGCCTTCAATTGCTCCTACCCTCCATGGGTAGTTCCTCCTTTCCTCATCTTCATCTCTCGGAGTTGTCAAGTCGAAGATCTCCAGGCATGAGCTTTCAGGCGGCGTCGACAATCGAACCATCTGAACTGTCGTCTTCACTGCGGTCTGTCCTGCTTGCCCAGTGGTGTTCTGAGCTGACGATGAGGAAGCACTTGTCCCGCCGAGGTTGCTAGCGGGCCACTGCTCCTCCACTTGATTGACTCTCTTCCAGCACTCCTTTGCGTAGTGCCCATACTTTCCGCAGTTGTGGCACACGCCAGACTTTCCAGCTTTGCCACCTTTGTCTCCTTTGCCTTTCTTTCCAGGGCCGTTCTCCCAGAGGCTTTTACCCTTCTCTGAGCCTTTCCATGAGCCCTTTCCATCTGACTTCATCTTTCCTTTCTCTTTACCTTTCGATTTGCCCTTCTGATCCTTCGACTTCGTCTTTCCTCCTTTCTTGCCTTTCTCCTTTCCAACATAGTCAACTTCCATAGGGGTCGACTCATCCATGCCAGCTCTTGTCGGAAGCGTCAGCGAGTTGCTGCTGTCCCACCTTGTTGCAATGGCCTCCAACTCCATGATCTTGTCCTTCAGATCTTCAAACTTGGTGGTGTCTGAGATCCATAGTTGTAGGTGGGCTCGTAGGTGGCTTGGTGCGGCTTGAAGTACACTGGCAATCTTTGCATCATCAGGATACTTCTGGTGTGAGATGCGTTCGTACTCCTGCACGATGGCCTCATATTGAGGTAGCTGTTCAGACAATGTTCGTCCTTCAGCGAACTGCACCCTCGACAGTTGGGTGAGAAGTGCCAACGATCGTGCTCTCGTTGCCGGTTGCATCTCTTTGAGCAGCCTTTGCCAAGCTTCGAACCCATTCTCATCCTTCATGAACTTCACCAGCTTGAGCGGCCGGTTGCGTAGGTATGAGGTCAACACCCCATACAGCCTTACTGCCATCATCTTCGTCTCGTCGGTCATGTCGCCCAGCTTGAAGTCCCCATTGAGGTTCTCTTCAACGAGCTCCATGCTGGCAGCCATCCTGGCATCTATGCCTTTGATGTAGTTCACAAAGCTGAACTTCCAGTCACTCCATTGCTTGATCTCGTTGTCTCTTGTGTCCGGCTTGAACAAATCTGGTGTCTTCATATGCCTGGACCATGACGAGGAAGATTGTGTCAGGGCCAGGCGTTCAAGCGCTTGTGAAATTGACTTCAAGCTCTCATCAGCCATCTCCCACAAATTCTTGATCAGTGGGCGGTAGGTGTAGGTCGCCTTGTCGGGGCCCTCAAGGTCCTCGGTGAGCAGAAGGCCACACTCCTGGAACAAAGAGATGTAGTCCCAGTTGGCTATCAATTCACAGATCTGGTCTCCTGGTGTTTCGTCTCTGACCTTCTCAACCTTTTCGATGAACTTCCAAGCAGCGGGGACGATCACAACCAGCTGTTTGGGTTTTCCTCTTTTCCTTCCTTTGCCCTTTCGCTCCCTTAGGATCACTGAAGCCTGGACGTTCCTGTCGCTTCTGATCCAGTGCAGTCTACCCACGTAGTCGTCGCTGTCGATGATCACGGTGTGGATCCTCCTGAGCTTTGCTTTGGCCCCCTGTGAGGTGACAGCCCAAGGTCGATAGAACTGCACCTCTTGGCAAAGTTTGTCTCCAGCTCCACTTGCAATGCAAGCTAAAAGGAGTAGTTCCACCAGGCCCACACCGATGCGCTTGGGCTCGCTCCTCCGGGCACGGGAGGTCGTGGTGACGATGGCGTGGGTAGGGAGCACGGTGCTTACGACCAGTGCTCCGCTACCATGCGAAGCGAAAGATGAGATCTTTTACTCGCTTGAGCCTAGTCGTTTCGGTACACACTTGATTTGTGCGTGTCATCCATGAGTGACTGTACGGGGAATTCTGACAAATTTAAGAAACCTTACGTAAGATTTTGCATCAAAAACTAACATAGCCCGTCACAAAAATGGGCATCTCTTCTGTGATGGGACAGGTTAGCAGTTTTTCGAGGCATGTTGGGTCATGTTCAAAATCATTATGATACGTACCGTTTTCTCCGGTTTTTCCCCAGGAAATGCCGCTCTAGAGCTGAACATGTTAGGGACCAGTCCCAAATGCACCCCGGGACATGTATATCTGGAAGAGTGTACTCCAGTCCAGTATTGAATCATTGAAGAATCGGATTTGACTGATCAAACGGAGGTCTCACTCTACGAGAGACTATTGACCTGAACCTTTTTGGCCGGTCTGCGGGCAAATGGCCGCAGGCACTCCTTGTCTGCCCGCTCCAGTACGGCAATATCCTTCTGTGCCAACGGCGTGTGGCCTGCAAACCAGTCCGTCACCTGTCAGGGGCGTCCAGTGATTCATCATCATCTTGACACAGGCGAGCAGTGTTCACATCCTGCCTGTGAGAGCAACCGCCTGCGCTCCTCCAAATTCAGGGCACCCAAAAGCTCTTGTAGCTTCTCATTCACATCCTGAGCCAGCCCTTTGCCAGGAGGAGTTTTTGAACGATGTTGAGTTGCTTGGCCATCAAGAACCAAAAAAACGACGTACGGCATCCCAGCATCCCATGCGCAACATCTGCATGATGCTCATGAACAGTGTGATTGCATGACCGCGCCAACGTTTTGTTTGGTTGGTCGTGACCACTCAACCTGAGAATGACACGTGCTCAACTGACAGAACAGGTCAGTCATCTAATTGTGTCTGTATCCATCCTTAGAAGTCCTAAAATAGATATTAATTACTTTACTTCGAGTGATCCCCACCATGACATTTCAAAACAGCTTGTTGACTCCACTTTTGTCTGAAGCTTTTGTCACGCGACTTTTGCGTAACTAACTATCCCGATGATTTGTTTCACCTGGCAGGTCATTGTGCATGTCAGTCTGTCAAACAGTATATAAACATGTCAGTGGGCCATGTGAAGTACACTCCAGAGCTCTCAACAGGTTTGCTTAAACATGACCAAACATGGCAGTGGACCACCTGAGCCAAATCATTTCTTTCACCTGGCAGGTCATTGCGCATGTCAGTCTGTCAAACAAGTTATAAACATGTCAGTGGGCCATGCGAAATAATCTCCAGATCTCTCGACAGATTGCTTAAACATGCCCAAACATGTCAGCACACCGCCTGTCAAACATGTTTGCGCAACCATGCCAGTTTTACTTCACCAGATCGGCGCAGCTGCAACTCTCTATTGCTCCACCAGACCGCTTCAGTCAAAACCGATTAGGTCCCACTGGCAGAGCACTGTGTCAGGATGTTTGCAGTGCATCATAGAGAGGCCAGGACTGCAGCCGCTCCAGCGTCGAAGCAGCTTTGGCTTCCAACTTGTCAGTCAGTTCTCGCAAGTAGGTAGGAGGGCCTCTGCGTAAAAGCTCTTCCACTTGCTCCGTGAACCCCAGCAAGATGAGATTCTTCAGTTTGCGGGCACGTGTCAGCATGACATAGATGGCTAGCCACCAGTCAGCATCCTCTAGGCCACCAGCACGACGCAAATCAACCAGCACGCCTCCGTCCAAAGTCAAGCCTTGCGCACTGTAAGCAGTGCGCAGCATGCCATGCAAAAGAGGAAATTGCCAGCGAATCACTTCAATTTTCTCGGTTTCCTCGCCTAGCTTCAAATCAATTTTGAACTCTGCATCCACCAATTCCACAAAGAACAATGTCTTTGCGTCAGTTGTGTGTTCGCCCACATTCTGAAACTTTTCTTCCCACGTCTGCAACAGAGCATCTTCCATGGGCGAATTCTTTCCTTTAAGTAATTTCACCCAAATACCTCTGGCCATGTATTCCGGAAAAATGACAGAATCCAGCTTCCCGACGGTCAAGGCGCTTCTGATCTTCATGGTGCAAATCCACTTTCACTACCACTGCCATTTTGTCTTTAACCAATTCAAGGTGTGGAGCCAAGACATCCGCCAGTCGCACAACCATGTTCTCGTGCACCAATAGCATGCCTTGCAATTTGCCAGTGCGATGCGGATTTGGAACAGTGAGCAACTGATGTGTCAACTGCTTGTCTATGGCTTTATTTTTCTGGAATGCCTTTGGTCAGCAGCTTGCAAACAAAATAACGGCACATCAAGGTCTTGCGCATCTCGATTTGCTCTTTCCACCATGCTGCGAGCAATGTTCTCCCAATACATTCCAATGACGTGGCCACGCTTGAACAAGTCCGTGCTTAGTTCTTTCTTGCAATTTTCGATTTTGCGAGCACGCAGCTGAGCCAAGAGATCCTCGGACAAAGGTGCAGCAGGCGTGCACCTGCGCATTGCTGCTGTGATTTCTGGCAAGTGAGCATCCAGAAACCTCTTCGACTTCTTCAAATGAATCACTGTATCAATGCTCATCAAAGCCGCCTGGGCAGCATGGTGTTCAGTCTCCACTCCACTCGGTGCGGCATTTTGCGGATCAGCTCTTCGAGATTGTCAGCTAAGGAGATCTCGTTGGCAGGCTTGATCTGCAAAAAATCACCTGCAATGAGCAAAATTGGTATGTGTCCCATGAGCTCTCCCGGATGGAAATAGGTGGCTGGGTCAAGGCCTTCATCTTGACGAGCGCGCATGCTGCGGTAAAGCATCATGTTTCCACTGCAGCTGGCACCAAACTGATTTCATCTTGAATGACTAGAATTTTAGGCTGCCAGCGTTGTTTCATCTCTTGCTCTTTTGTCTTCAAGGCCAAATGCTTGTTGCGCAAACTGGCTACACGATACGAGCAAGCACTATGACATGTTCGGGCGCGATAGGCATGATTGGAAATGGCATCCGATTGGGCATGGCTGAGGGTGGCAATCATGTATCGCTCTTCTTCTCCGGGTCTGGCTGGAAAAAAGTGGCAAAAAACATCCAGCGTGAGTTCTAAAGTGATTGTCGTCTTGCCAGTGCCACCGGCGCCAATCAAAAGGCATGCGTGCTGCGAACGGTTTCGCAAAGGTGTTTTGTTCTCTTCTTCTTGTAAAGCTGCATCCATTGCCTCACCAAACCATCTGCAAGCAGACAATTGCTCCGGCGCCAGTTTGAATCCACCGGCAGACTTTTCAAACTCAGCAACCTTCCGCGCCATCGCTGCCGATGGCTTGCTAAAGGTGCGCCATTCTGCTTCTGGAATCCCGACGTCGCTGTTTGCAGCCAGCTCTCCTGCAAGGCTCGGCGCAGTCGCTCGTAGCAGCCCGTTCCGCCAACAAGCGGCTGAGGCCCGTGCTATCATTTGTCATGGCAGCGCGCTGAGCATCCAGTAGCGGCTGCGTGATCACGGGCACTTTCTCTTTCAGCCTCAGTCACTGCAGTGCCACTCGCACGCTTGTAGGACGAAGTTCTATGCAACGCTTCTTCGTCCCCTGTCAAGGGCAAAAGGCCCGCAGAAATCATGTCGCGCACAAACTTGGTATGCTTTTGACGATGAAAGGTCATGGCTTGCGAACGCTGCGATGAAGTCAGCGGATGATGTACTTTTAAGGGTGCATCTCCAGCCTTCAGTCGAACCTCCCCATCGATGTCTGGATCCAAAGCATCTTCAAAGGCTGGTTCAAAGCATTTGCCAGTATCTCCAGTCCCGTGTCCTTCACGCACTAATCCTGGATCTTCTTTTGCATCTGCGTCCAAAGCATACGACTTGGTTTTGGGCGCTGCCTTAGCACGTCCGTAAGCATCTAAGTTCTTGGCCACTCTTTTTGTCAAGTAGCAAACATGCTCTCGGACAGTCAAATGCAGCTTTGCACTCGCATCGCAACCCAGTTTGTTCATGCAATCCTCGTCCAATGGAATCAAAAAATTGTTTTGAGCCAATTCTTTTTGCAACTGGAATACTTCCAAGCACTCCCACAAAGTAGGCATTTCCATTCGTGCTTCAATTTTTGCTTCAGCATCCGCAGCTTTGGGCAAAACAGTGTGCTGCCAGTAGTGTTTCCATGCTCTTGGAAAGGCATCATATGGACTTTCATACTCTCCTCCCTTCATCTTTTTGGTTACTTTCTCCACATCCAGAAAGATGGCCTTGTAAGGGTCCTGCGGATTGCCTTTTTCATCCATGTCATTGTTTTGCCCCAAAGGCTTGAAGAGTAGCAACTTGATCAAACTTCACCTTATCGGATCTACATCTGGCGATGGAATATGCATACCTTCCAGCTGTGGGATCTTTGGAATCGCACTGAGACGCTGTGTCTTCACTAACGCAGATGGTTTGTAATCTGCATCGTAGTCGAAGCTAATCACATAGTCTCCCAAAGGATCTCGGCTGGATTGCTTTCGCGCACCATAAACCCACATATTGTACACATACGCTGGAAGTGCCTGCGCATGCATTCACAAACAACGACCATTACTATTTTATTTTAAAGTGATTAGACTCAAACGACAAAGAACAACAACAATTCTTAACTACTTTCAAGACCCTGCCTGCATGATGGGATGCTCTCCACGGTGCATGTATTCTTCGTGCTTGGATGTGAACTGCACATGAATGTTGGAGTTCTGATCAAAGCTGTCGATCTGAACTGCCTTCATGTCAGCACCCATGCGATTCCGCAGCCTGTCATTGCGCGCATATTGCAAGGCTTGTTGCAAGGATGTGAACCGTTGCCCGCCCGGACTGATGTAGATGTAGCCATGGTCTTCCCCAGTTTCTTGTTCTACTTGTTCCATGGTCGCAGCAGCATTAGCAGACAAGGCTTTATCCTGCGGCTTCGGTTGTACGAGCCAGCCCACTGGCAATTCTTTAGCTCTTCCACTTTGCAGCGACGGCAGTAATAAAAAGCCAATGGTTTGGGACACTGAAGCCTTCTCGTGTAAAGCTTTCAATCTACCTTTGACATGGTCTTGCCAAGCTGAGAGAGAATTGGCATAGGCCACCTTCAAATTGGTCTCCCAGCAGCGATGCGTAGCAAAGGACATATGGTCGAACAACATGGGAAACACCAACTCCGAGCCACTTTTGACCTGCAGTGAGTTCATCAAGTGCACAAATTTCTTCAACACCATCTTGACTCTCTCCTTGTTGCGTTGACGCGTCGTGAGTTTCTCGACGCTGCCGTCAGCTTCAGAGCAGGCACCCGGACAGCCCCGGTCACAACCGGTTGAGTCCCATGGGTACTTGCCGCAGCTCCAGCAGAAACGCTCACAGTACTTGCTGCGGCTCCAGCAGAAGCACTTGGCGACTCTTCCCAAGAAGCCCAAGGGTTCGGTTGAGTCCCATGACCGCCCGCATGCACCGGACATCCAGCCCAATGTTTGTTGCGCCAGGGAACCGTGCAATTCATCCGGACATGCTTGGCTCCGGGGGCAGAACCTTCATGCAAAGCAATTTCATGATCCAGCCCATCTTTCTCCCACTCTTGCAATGAAGTGAACATAGGAAGCAATTGGAACAGCATCTTTGTCATTGAATGCTTTTTGTCCCCCAAGGTCAACACACCTCCATGCCCAAAAGAAAAGGAGGTGATCGGATCAACATTGCTGTAGGTGTCACACACATCTGAATGAGGCGAGATTCCATTCCATGCTTTTGGTTGTGATCATTCCAGTTCCACAACACTTGCCACGACTTGTCAAGCCAACTGGGACGCAGATCTCGATTTGGAAAAGCCACATAGTTCTTCATCAATGTGGCGTCCCACAATTTCTCAAATTTGTTTCCAGCTTTCCACATGGCCGATGAAGTTGGCACATGTTTCTGGTGAGCGTCAGCCCCAAAGATCGAGCGACACAGACACGGAGCACGCGTCACCTGCGCACTGCAGTAGTACACAGTCCATCCGTCAGAATTCAGCATCTGCTGCGACTTCGTTGGTCGAGCAGAATTGTTGCGAACATTTTCTTCCCACTGATGGATCTCTTCAAGCTGTGGCCCAATAAAATCTCCAATCTCGAAAAAAGGCTTTCCCTCACGACAAGCGCCTCTGGCGAATAACAAAAAGGATTTGTCCGAATAATGCGGCAGTCTGTCTGCATAGTTCTCAAAACCTACGTCTGCACCAAACAAAAGCTGCGCAAATTTCACAGTGTCATCCCAACTCGTGACACCAAATGGCCATGATCTCTTTGCTATGGCTGTGCAAACACAAGACCTTCCCGATAAACCAGTTCAGTCCCAGGTGCTCAAACTTCTAAGTGCACAAAAACAGTGTCCATATTGCAATGTCAAACGACGCCGACTATCTATATAGTATGTAACCTCTCCAATCTTTCTCAATGCACCATTTGAATCCTGAAGTCTTTCATGTCCCTATCCTTGGAACACCTTTATATTATTCACACTTTTGCTTGTGCTTGAGCACACATCGGCCGTTGTGCAGGCGGTCAAAGCACAAGCTGCTTTCCCAATCACTTATCAAACACTTTTGAAAGCGCCCACTGGCCAATGTGCTTACTTCGACTCAAACTCCACGCCTGCGTAGCACACGCAGACCAGTCACCCTCTGCCATCACCTGCCAAGCAAACAAAAACACATTACTGATCAAACAACATCCTCCTGACAATCTTCTATCATGATGGGGGTGCAATGTTTGTTGATACTTGTTGGCCATGATCTCTTAGCCATGGCTCTGCAAACACCAGACCTTCCTGGTCAAAATCAGTTCAGTCCCAAGGTGCTCAAACTTCTAAGTGCACAAAGACAATGTCCGTGTTGCATCCTGCCTCTGGCCCGCGATCGAGTAGATAAAGGCTCAAACGCTACACCAACTGTTGCGATGTCACATATCCACCATGCCACCATAGCTGTGATACACAACTGAAACCATGTGTGATGTTGAGTCTGTCAAACCTCACTCCAGCATGAGGTCACTTTAGTCACTTGCTGTAGGATGTTGCCTGTCGCAAGCGTCTTTGCTAACGGCTGCCAAGGTACAAAAGTGGAAAGGTCTCTGTCCGCCCCAGTGACCCCAGTGACTCTGTCATCTGTTCCAACCGATTGCTCCAAGCTTCGCAACGCCCGCAAAATGAAAACTGACATTGCCCCGCTACTGTCCTAGACACACATCAGAGTTTGCACCTAGTATATCACATACTTGTCTGACATTCTTTCTAACTTTCTTCTGACACTCTTTGTTCCATATATTCATGCATATTTGAAAGGCTCACCATCACGCAGGGTTTCTGACATTCTAGCTGGCATAGCTTTTGACATTCTATCTGGCATGGCTTTTGACAGGGGCGTTGGGGTCCAGCAGGGAACACTGGGCGTGGATGATCGTGGTTGAGGTCTGGCAGGGGACACTGGGCGTGGATGGTCGTGGTTGACGTCCGGCGGAGAAGGAGAAGTCAGCTAACATAAAATCTAACAACCCTCACCTGGCAGGTGGGGAATAAATATACATATATATATATATAACTATATATATATATACATACGCATGCGCGCAGGCATTTGGGTCAGTTAGACAGATTCATATGCACAAAAGGTATCAAAAGTTTGGGAACAGATTCCTGTCCAAGGAAGTGGCTTTCTCGCGAACAAGAAACTCCTTCACAAGTCTATCGCGCACATGTTTATGCAAACCTTCTTGGCCTGGCCCTTGCCATGCACACCGCAAACCCTTAGTAAGGCTCAACATGGCTCAATTATAAATCTCTGGTGCACCTGCCCGGGGGGGGAGCGTGGACAACACACAAAGCAACACACGGCAGGGGCTTCTAAGTGGGTTTTAACCACCAAGCCTTCGTAAAACTCTTGCCACGAGTATGGTACCGTCAAGGCATACAACACGAAAGGCTCTTGACGAACAAAGTCCTTACAAGGACGTGACCTTTGGATCAGCTACAGCAGTATGTAGTTTGAGAAAGCCAACTCCCGACTGACTGACTGACTGACTGACTGGCTCACTCACTGCAACTCCATCCAACACCTTGATTTCTACGCCTGTTCCTTGACCATCCAATCGCCTGAAATGCGCTCATGGAGAACTCCTCCGTCTCTAGTGCTGGCTCTGGCTCCACCAAACGGCTGGCCTGAGGAATCCACTGAGGAATCCCAACAGGGCGCTTCATTGCCCAAAGATACAAGAATGCAGCATAATCAATCTAGTGTCAACGTTGACCTATTAGGTGGAGGCCATCGCTGTTAGGTTGGAGGCCATCGCTATTAAGTTGGAGGCCATTGATATTGGGTTGGAGGCCATCGATATTACGTGGGAGGACACCGCTATTAGGCTTTAGCGGCCATCGCTAAAAGGTTGGATGGAAGCCATCGCTATTAGGTTGGAGGCCATCGCTAATAGGTTGGAAGCCTCGCTATTTTGTTGGAGGCCATCGCTATAAGGTTGGAGGTCATCGCTATTAGGTTGGAGGCCATCGATATTAAGCTGGAGGTCATCGCTATTAGGTTGGAGGCCATCGCTATTAGGTTGGAGGCCATTATATTGGGCTGGAGGCCACCTGAAAAAGGGTGGAGGCCATCGCTACTAGCTTTGGCGGCCATCGCTATTAGGTTAGAGGCCATCATTATATTGGGCTGGAGGCCACCTGAAAAAGGGTGGAGGCCATTGCTACTAGCTTTGGCGGCCATCGCTAAAAGGTTGGAGGCCATCACTAAAAGGTTGGAGGCCATCGCTATTAGGTTGGCGGCCATCGCTAAACGGTAGGAGGCCATCGACGATCAGGTCCAGTTTGGAGGCCATCGTTATTAGGTTGGTTGGAGGCCATAGATATGGAGGGTATGTGCAATCCGGGTCGCGGTTCACAGCGGCCACTCACTCTGCCACTGCTCAGCCACTCAAGATCCTGAGCCGCCACTCAGCCACAACGGCTGGTGTGGAATATAGTCGCCGTAGTAGAAGTAGTATTAAGTGGTAGCACTATAGTCGTCGTCTTTGTAGTCGTAACAGTAGTAGTACTAGTCGTCGTCATTGTGGTCGTTGTTGCCGTCAGCGACAAGGACCGGTCTGAGCGTTTACTTTTGGCTTTCAAGGATTTGATCGTTCATGTGGGGTGCGCTTGTTGCAAGCACACCCTGCAGGCTTGATCAATTCATTTGGCTTGCTTTCGAAGTCATGGGATCTTCTCGTGAAGGTAGCAGTAATAGCAGTAGCAGTAGCAGCAGCAGCATGAGCAGGAGTAGCAGTCGCAGTAGTAGCAGCAGTAGCAGTAGATTAGTAGGAGTAGGAGTAGTAGTAGTAGTTGTTGTTGTCCTGCTGTTGCACGATTGCCGAAAAAGGGGCCGTCCAAGCTTCGACGTTTGGAGGGCCCCTTTTTCGCTACCATCCGCCGCCATACCGGTATCTGCGACATGTGCCCGAAGAAAGGCCTGAATGGCTGGTGTGGAGTAGTCGTCATAGTAGAAGTAGTAGTGGTAGCACTATAGTCGTCGTATTTGTAGTAGTAGAAGTATACTAGTCGTCGTCGACTTCGTCATCGTCGTCGTCAGCCTGAGTGGCTGGCACTGTGACGTAGTCGTCGTCAGTGACAAGGACCGGTCTGAGTGTTTATTTTTTACTTTGAAGGATTTGATCGTTCCCGTGGGGTGTGCTTGTTGCAAGCACCTGCTCGATCATTTCATTTGGTTCGTTTTCGAAGTCATGGAACCTTTTCTTGAAGGTGGTGGTGGCGAGTATAGTGGTAGTAAGTAGTAGTCGTCGTCGCCGCCGTCGTCGTCGTTGTTGCCGTGGTTGTTGCAGAAGCAGTAGTGGCAGGAGGAGTAGTAGTAGTAGTAATAGTAGTAGTCGTAGTCGTAGTCGTAGTCGTAGTCGTAGTAGTAGTAGTAGTAGTAGTAGTAGTAGTAGTATAAGTAGTATAAGTAGTATAAGTAGAATAAGTAGTATAAGTAGTATAAGTAGTATAAGTAGTAGTAGTTGTCAACGTAGGAGTAGTAGTGGCAGTTGTAGTAGTTGTAGTAATAGTAGTAGTATAGTGGTAGTAGTACTCGTATTTGCAAACGTACTCGTAGTCGCAGTCGTCGTCGTCGTCGTAGTAGTAGCAGTAGCAGCAGTAGGAGCAGGAGCAGGAGCAGTAGTAGTAGTAGTAGTAGAAGTAGTAGTAGCAGTGGGAGTAGCACTAGCAATAGCCAGTGGCAGTAGCAGGAGGAGCAGTAGCAGGAGCAGGAGCAGGAGCAGGAGCAGGAGTAGTAGTAGTAGTAGTAGTAGAAGTAGTAGTGGTACTAGTATTAGTACTAGTACTAAGCGGAGTAGTGGCAATGGGAGTAGTAGTAGTAGTAGTAGCAGTAGAAGTACTTGCAGCTGTACTTGCAGTTGCAGTTGCAGTAGTAGTCGTCGTCGTCGTCGTCATAGTAGTAATAGTAGTAGTAGTAGTTGTTGTTGTAGCAACAGTAGTGGTAGTAGACGTCGTAGTCGTACTAATAGTAGTCGTCGTCGTAGTAGCAGTAGTAGTAGCAGTAGCAGCAGTAGCAGTAGGAGCAGGAGCAGGAGCAGTAGTAGTAGTAGTAGTAGTAGTAGTAGTAGTAGTA